CCGGAAGAAATTTTTAAACTTAAAACTATACAATCGTAAAAAAGATTTTTTTTTTGTTTTTTTTTCTTTTTTTGCACGATTGATCAGCTACGATATATAAAAGCACGTAAGCTTCGAAAATTAAGAATCGTAAATGTAAATGTGAATTTTTATATGATAATTGTGTTTGCTCTGATCTCACTTTTTATTTCTACTTTATTTCTTTATGTTTTTTTTTTTTTTTTTTTTTTTTTTTTTTATTTTCTTTTAATTTTTTTTTTTTTTCTTCGCTTCTTTCGTTACAGTTATGGGATGGATTTGAACGGTGCTAGGCGGAAAAATGCTACGAGAGAAACGACGAGCACTTTGAAGGCTTGGCTGAACGAACATAAGAAGAATCCTTATCCTACTAAGGGCGAGAAGATCATGCTGGCCATAATCACGAAGATGACGTTGACGCAGGTCTCGACGTGGTTTGCCAATGCACGAAGGAGATTGAAAAAGGAGAATAAAATGACGTGGGAACCACGTAACAGAGTCGAGGATGAGGATAACAATAACGAGGATGACGATAGCGGTAGAAAGAGCGTCGATGAAAAGGATCGTCTCGGTGAGTTTTATTTTAATAGACTTTTTACACTGATTGAATCTCTTTATTTACGTCTATCAAAAAGTTCTGCTTTAACATGGATTCTTCTTTTTTTTTTTTTTTTTTTTTTTTGTTTCTTTTTTGTTCTTTTTTTGTTCTTTTTTTCTTCAACTTTTACGGACTAGTATATGATATAAATACGTGACGTGTTAATATCAACGATAATTATGAATTTTTAAATAACGTCCGAATGTATCGTGTTCTATTCCAAGGAAGATTAATTTTTTCTCTCTCTAATTAATTGACTTAATTAATCAAAAGAAAAATCAAAGATTGTTAATATTAATAGAAATTAACGTGTCAATTCTCGAATAGGTTATACTTATTATCTTCTTGCGAAGGATTAACTTTTAATTGATATAAAAAAAAAAGAGTGAAAAAAAGAAAAAAAATAAATAAATAAATAAAAAAAGGAAAAAAAAAAATAAAAAGAAAAGGACCAATCATCGAAGAAGCAATTGTTAATGTTTAATAAAAAATTATCTCGTTGAAATTGAACGTCGTGAAAAATAGCGTCAAAAAAAAAAAACAACAGAAACAATCAAAAAAAAAAAAAAAACAAAACAAAACAAAACAAAAAGGAATAGGTATATTAACTTCTTTAATTCACGAATCAAAATTGACAGGAGTAGAAGTAGAAGTAGAAGGAGGAGGAGGAGGAGGAGGAGGTGGAAGAGGAGAACTTTTCGGTAGATCCAAATTCATTACAGATAATGAAATCAACGATAAAAATGTGATAATGTTATTAGGACGTCATACCATAAAGGAGGATAAATTCGATAATTACAGATTCAAAGGATTCGGGTACGGGTTCGAGCGAGGACGGTGAACGGCCAGCTCATAGATTGGACCTATTACATGGCACCAGTGGTGGTTCTGCTGGAGCACAGGGTAGAACGGAGAGTGAATGGAGTGAGTCACGTGCGGACAGTGGTCCGGATAGTCCGGAATGTTTATACGATCAAAGGGAGCCAAGGCATCCCTTACAGCTTCAACATCCGGCGTACCTTGCATCAAGCCATGGACGATTACTTCGTCATCCATCGCCGGAGAGTACGTCGCCTAGCGGTCATCATCATTTACCACCTAGTACGAGTGCACCATCGACGGGTAGTGCAGTGACGACGAAGCCAAGGATTTGGTCGTTGGCCGACATGGCAAGTAAGGATGGTGAACAACAAAGTCCTAATCCAACGACGATGACGGGTCTAACGTCGCCGTATGCTGGTACGGGAGGAGGAGGTGGAGTTGGTGGTGGTGGTGGCGGTGGTGGTGGTGGTGGAGGAGGAGGAGGAGGAGGAGGAGGAGGCGGTGGTGGTGGTGGTGGTGGTGGCGGTGGAGTAGGAGGAGGAGGAGCTGGTACAGGTGGTGTTCCTGGAAAGCTAGTGAGCCCATTGGCGAGTCGTTTACCACCTCATCATCCGTTACACCCAGTGATGCATCCAGGTACACAATTTGTAAGGCCTCACCCGGACTTTTATCGAAACTTCTATGGGGCCTCCCATCTTGGTTCCGGAGATATGTCATTGCTTGAAAGTTACTCGAGAACATTGGGCGGTCTTGGTGGTGTTATGCCACCCTCGACCGCTCCGAGCATATTAACGTCATCCTCCTCGTCAATACCAGGCGCCAATAATGCTAAACCGTTCTCGATCAATGGAAATTCCGGCGTTACCGGTGGACATACGGTTATGCTTACAACAGCATCGTCCGGTCTCTCGCCGTCGTCATCATCGACGGCATCCTCAGGTGGATCTGATCATTCGCCTCATCCGACTGGTGGCTTGCCACCAAGTCAAGAGCTCAAATCGCCTGGACGAGTGTGATTCGACGTATAATAAATAAATAAATAAATAAATAAATAAATAAATA